GGAGTATTTGCTTCCCTAGATCTAGAACGAAATACATAGATCTACTCTTAAAATTTTGCACTTTATTTGTGCGTAATGGCGATGCCCGTGGGGTGTACGCTTCGCGAAGAACTTTTCTTTTTAAATAGTAGTGAGAGAAGAGTGGCAGCCATGACAGTGCAGGATATACAAGGAGTTTAGAACTAACTTTTAATCTCCTTGAGGATATAATATAATAGGAGTACAGTTCTATGATTTTCACTGGACATCGGACGGCCATCGTGTTTCGGAACATTTCGGTGAATGTCGGTGATACGAGCAAAGTCTTCCGTGGGCTTTAACGGAAGTTGGCCCCGTACGTGTTTTCCTTTTACGCCGTGATCGCCGAGGTGAGAGACGTGTGTAACCGTGTGCTATGCGAAAAATCAAAATTTTATTAATATGATGGCACTTCTGTATTTAGAATGTAAATTAGTTGAAATATGTATGTTGATACTCATTGCTGTGCGTTTTGTGGTGCGCATAGTCTAGAAATAGCTGTAATTATCTGGCCGGGAACTTGCTCCTTCGCCTTCGCAGTTTTATCGGAAATACTTCCTAACTTAACTGTTGTGAAAGTAGAACTTTTACTTTCACAATAAATCTATAAACTTTCCTTGTAGTTATTTCTCCTTACCTATTATCCAACTCCCAAACTGACATATAGATTTTCTACTTAGCGTGATCAGATTGATAAACACCATTTACTTTGTTCTTTGGGATCAGATAGCTAGATTCTAGGTTCGATGACCAAGAATCTAGGGCACTCCTGTACTATCCCGACTTTTTTGTAAGCCTACTGAAATATCGATACTGATTTATATAGTCTGTATCAATGTTTTATGTATTTTATGTTTTATCAGTACCCTAGATTTAGAATCCCGAGTGACGCGGTGGCAATTGACAAAAATTGACTTTTTGTCAATTGCCACCGAGTGAAGCGGTGCCAAGTCTGAAAACACCATCTTTAGCATTATTCATAATGTGTGTCTAATGGGTCAATTTGTTCCCAACTAATTTCATTGGACGAGCATCTAGTCTAGAGCTACGGTACCAACTTGGCGTGTTTTCAATGAGACGTAGGCCTAGATCTAGGCTAGCCTTAGCCTACGCTTTGGTGTAGAACCAACACAGGCAATTCTAGAAGTAAGTAGAAGGTCACAAACGCACACAAACTGAAGCAGAAATTCACGTTATATCGGGGAACATAAATCGGGGGACGGGGGTCAGGAAAAGACACACACACACACACACACACAGAGAGGCGAACGCACAACACCGAGCACTCGAGCACAATAAGCTAGATCTACCCACCAACGCGAAAGCTCCAATTTACTCAGTGGCAATTGACAAAAAGTCAGTTTTTGTCAACTGCCACCGCGTCACTCGGTGGCAATTGACACTACCTTAAAAAAACATGGGGTGTTTCAGGGGCAGGGGGGGCATGCCCCTCTGATTACCCTGAATTTGACCACAATTTGATGTTTTGCAATGAGGTTTGAAAGGCTGTCTCTCGATACCGGCACGCGAAAAAACAAGTAGATTCTTGATCTAGAGTCACGACCCCACTCGTGGGCCACTAAGCTACCCACGTAGGGAAAATCACTCTCAGACTCAAATCCAGTTATCAATGTTTTTCTTTTAGTGCTGTTATGAAGAGTAACATGCCCTTGGACCATTTGAGGGGTGTCCCATGCTTGGCACTTGGTATTTTATGTTAGTAATCCAACCTTTTTTGGGACAGTGTCAGAAAATCCTAATTACCCCCCAAATGGGACAGGCTCCTCACATGGGACACTAAGGCACCCAATATGGGACACCCCTAGTTTTCAGCTTGTTGGGACACTAATGTACTCAAACTCAACATGTAATTTCATTGCTTGATGTTCTGCTTTCATTTGTGCATGTAAATTTCATTTTCACTTTAAAACAGTGGTACTGATACACTGAACAATGACATATATATAGGTCTATTATAGTCTATATATAACATCATGCTCCCAACAAACATGCATGCTGTAACAATTTCACAACACATGGTGCAGGACACTTTTGATACTTGTAAATCCTCTCTGGACACTTGAGCAAACCTGGATCAACTTTGCTAATGTCTTGTTTTGCTTTTTTAAACCAGTTCAAAATTTTTTTCTTTTGGGACCGCCCCTCTTGCGCTCCCATTAAGTGCTTGGGGTGTTCTGATTGAAATGGCATCCTTTTGTCTCTAAATAAAGCATACAATTTTAATACTGCTTGAAGGCTTCCCTAAAGCTCTTTTTTTTTGGGGGGGGGGGGGGCTGAACAGCATCCACTGTAGCCTGGATGGCATCTTCAGAGTTGGCAAGGCGTTTTGATGGTGCCATAGTGCTTAAGAAAAAACTCCACTCTAGCATGAAAGTTCAGAGATCAATGCCAATTTGTCCCACTTAAAAACTCAAACATAAGTGTATCAGTACCACTGTCTCTCTCTGTAGACTGAGTGGTTACTTTCAAGAATTAACATTAAAAATTGTCCCATGTAACTTGAACAGAGTAGCTGATTACAATATAAGTTCAAAACTAAAACCATGTCGCAGCTGTCCCATATAGGAAGCCGTCCCATATATGGGTCCAGCAGTACTGGACCTGTCCCACATTAAAACCAATACCTTTAATGGGCCACCTGTCCCATGTTAGGGATAGGGGATAGCACTAGAATATTGAAAACTGGCCCATCTAGGGCTTCACACCCTGAACTGGGGAGCTGGCCCATCTAGGGTTCCATAGTGAAAGACAGTACCCCTCACATGGGACAGCCAAAATCTCGGGACAGTGGTTGATTGGAGGAAAAAACCCTGGCTGATACTATTTTTAGGTTTCAGGAAGACCCTTTGGGCCAGTTGTTGCTATTTTAAACTTATGATGTCATTCACAGTACCTTTATGAACTTTCACACAAAAGAAATGAAAGTGGTAAAAATGGCGGCGGCCATTACTCGCCTACTCGACTGAGAAGAAAAAAAAGGTCTCAAAAGAAAAGTAAAGTCACGAGAAGGCTGCCACTCTTGCAGATCCAAGAAAAATATGTCTAGATTGGATCTAAACCAAAACTGGGCTGCTGAAAGCCGCGAAATTTTAACGAGACGCGATCAAACCGACTAGATTCAGTCAGTGTCCCATTGAGGGAGGTGTCCCACGAAGGGGGTCGTGACTCTAGATTCTAGATCTAATAGTTTAGACTTAGAATCAGAAGTAATTGTCGTTGGACTCAAAACTAGATTCTAGATCTAGATTTTCTCTGGGTTATATTTCCGTCACCAAAGTCGGGACCACCATATCCAAGTAGTGCCAAATTTTGGGTAAAAACCCCTAGATTTTCTTTTACCTCAGGGGGGCACCCCCCGATTGGTCCGAAGCACGCCTATCTCGTTAAGAACAATTATATATATTACAAAAACTATTAATTTGTGACGGAAATGAAGTTGATATTCGTGTTCAGCGCATCACTATTTAGTAGAAAATGGACAACTGGTAGCTAAGTGTGAGACGGGAGGGAAAGACAAAAAAATACCCATCATAAATTATAATTTGTAGAGCTGCTTTGAAGTTTTTATGTATATTAGTGATGAAGAATGCGGGGGGGGGGGGGGGGGGGTGTAGATCTAGGTCTAATCCTCCAGCATCTTTACGGCAATTTTCGTACACTTCCATCTTTGGTGCCATGCGGTTGGCTATACTTAAATGTAGTCACGTGATCAGAGGGGAATCCTGGTCTGACGTCAAACAAGATGGGCGCCGTACCTAAAAACAGTTTGCGTCTTTCTGCGTTTAATCGCGTGCGTAGTAATATTTGACTTACTTTAAAGTGCAGAGCTGACCAAGAACTGCTAGAATTCTGTGTAGTGTCATTGAGGCGGGAAAGGGGACACAACTATGCAGAGATAACATTAAAATTAGAATAAGGAAGATGCGTCGTTCTACGTTTAGTCGCATGTATTTCTTGGCCTTCCTTATAGATCTAGATCTATTGTATGGAATATCTGATACCAAAGTGTTTCCAAGACTAAAAATATAGATGTAGGTTAATTTATGTGGACAAATGTCAACGTCCACATACCATTATTTTGCAATATTTTCTGTTTGGTTGCCAAGTTTTCATTGACATTGGTCCAGAAATGGAGCTGAATGAGTTGGAGAGAATCAGTCACTTTTGTTACGACTTCAGTGTAAGGGTGCCTTTTCGGTAGTTCCCACCCCCCTTATTTGAGCCCAGATCTATCTGTGAGCTAAGATATCAAACTTAACTGCAAAACATTAAATTAGATCGGAATGTTTAAAAAAATTTAATTTAAATTATACAATAATACGATAACACCCCACCCCTGATTCTGATTTGTAATTATTTACCGCCTTCCCAGATTAGTTAGGAACTGTCCGATCCTGACAGTGTACGTCATTACGTACTGTGCAGCTAACTTTGACACCCTCTGTGCAGTGAGAACTTGTTGTCGACTGGCAACACTTTGTCTTCTGAAAAACTTTACTTAGATAGATCTAGCGGGAAAGTGTACAGTTCAAGATCAAAGTAGGCTTGTGACGTGTTTTGTCGAGTTTCTTTGGTTTTTGCAAGAGTCAAGCCAACGATGAATCCACCAAGATCTCTTTCATTGCGCTTTTGATTCCATTACATATGTCCCTTACCCGATCATGTCCTTGATGCTGATTGCCCAGGAGAACTGTCCATGACTATTTTGCCCTTTTATTTTTTAATTTCTATTCATTTCTTCTTCCTAGCTCTGTCATCTTTTTTTTTTTTTATCTCATCGAAAATTGCTTGCAAAATCCAGAAGGAAAATGTGAAAAAGCTGAGAATTCTTTTCTCCTCCTGAGTGGGCACAGTGTCTAAGAATAAGAGATTTGTTGCTTGATTAATGCTGTTCCTTGTGTGTACAGAGGTAAACTCCAGCTCATACTTGAATTTCTATTTATGCACTGAAATGAATGATCATGGAATTTGATGTTTGTTTTTGTCTTGAGAATCGAGGGATCACCCTACATAGTTGACTATGTCTGATGATTGGGAAGCAGAGGCCGCCCCAGCCGCAGCTGCTGGGGCAGTGACCGTTGCTGAGCTGCCAGAGGTCAAGCTCTTTGGAAAATGGTCAACAGATGATGTCCAGGTCAACGACATCAGTTTGAACGTGAGTCCTCTGGATTTTTTTGTTTTCCATGTCGTTGGAGCTGTGTTGTTGTTTTTTAAATCTCATCGGCCAGCTATTCAATTTTACTTAACCCAAAAAATTTTGCGTTAAACAGTGCTTCCACTCTTCCGTATTTTTACAGAAATCCTTACTTTCTGCCAGTTCCGTACTTGTTCCTCCATCATTATCAACTCCCGTAAAAAGCTGCAACAGCGTAGGAGTGCCGAAATTCCGCAGCAAAAGATCCGTACTAGCCTTCGTATCATCTAGTACTAGTATAAGTTACGGATATTTACGGTAATTCTCTCGGCAATAAGTTAATGTTTTAGAAACCTGCCAGATTGTGCATTTCCTGCAATCGGCCATTACTCAGCTAAGCCCCTTGCATTTTTTGCGGGTTGGACGGCGGTACATTTTTACCTGTGGATTGATCTAAATCGGGAGCACTTTTTGTGCCAACTTCCTCCTTTCTATCATTCACTCATTCCGTCTGTCTATCTTCGGATTGATGTCGCGGCTGGAAAATCTGCGCGTTGATCAAGTAAATTGGCTTAGACAGAAAATTACTGTCAGAAAGGAACTTTTTTACAGATTTGTCTAGATCAAGAGAAATGATCAGTATGAAGATTCTACGGCACAGGAACGCGATAAGGGCCGCAATGGAAAAAAATTATGCTAAAAGTACTAAAATCAAGAATAATTCAAAGTGGTGTTCCGAGGTTGTGACAGGGACCCCCTGGCGTGAAATTTAAGGAAAATTAGGGTATACTGCGGGTGACAGTATTGTGAAGGTACATATTCAGTATTCTCAGGTTCGCCTTGTATCAATGGTGCGATGACAAATTAATTGAATTATAGTAGTAGCAATAGAAGGGGTACCTGCCTTTAAACATTGCTGTCAATGGAAATATATTATGTAGATCTTGGTGAAGAAATCAAACAAGTAAGACAAAATGTTGGTGATAAAATAAATGTTATGGTTTGTAGACAATCTCTTCAAACAGACTCCCAAATGCCATTTTCAACCCTCTAAAAGCACTAAATTTCAATTTCTTCAGGAGGTTCGCCCCCTGAATCACCACCGGGACGCTGTCTAGACCTGCATGTTTGCCGACAATCGTCTGAAATCCGACAATCGCGAGCCGGCCGATGCTATCGCTAGGCCCACCTATATTAGTCAATGTACGAAGTGCGAGGCCTGGCCGACTGCCAGCACCCGTTTTTCTCCCGTCGGCTTTGTCGGCACTTTCGTTTTCGTGCCGACAGCGGCGTTTCCGGCATAATTGTCGGAACCTGAGTAGAAATGCGAATGCGAAAAAGAACGACCTAAATTATCTACTTTCAGTTTCGTGCTCGGGCGGCCATTTTGAATTTCGTTTGTTGACTAATTCAATTGTTCAGATCGTGTCGATTTATTAAAGTCCAACTCACTTATTCTAATAGAATCTAGATCTAGATTTATATAGATCATTATAGACCTCAATGGAGGATTCATATTCCAATTCTATTGTGTCAAACCCTATCATAGGTTGTGCTGTAATATTAATATTGGTAAAATGCATTTCATCAGGTTCGTGAATTATTTATTTATTTAGAATCTAGACTCAGATGAGTCCCTCTGTTCGGAATCGGATGCGGATTTCTAGTTCAAGGCCTATTCATATTCACTTGTTCTACAAGATCTAGATCTCGATTCATTTAGATTACTAGATCTATATGGAGGATTCATATTCCAATTCTATTGTGTTATTATTGTATCAAACCCTATTATAATTATAGCAATGTAGATCTAGAATCTAGATGTAGATGTAGGCCATATTATTGTATCAAACCCTATTATAATTATAGCAATGTAGATGTAGATGTAGGCCATATTATTGTATCAAACCCTATTATAATTATAGCAATGTAGATCTAGATGTAGGCCATATTATGCTCCTTGTTTGCTTTGGGGTGTGGTTTTTTAAATTAAAAATTGGACTTGTGCTGGGCTTTTTACATGAGGCCCGTTGCAGGTCCTTTTTTGGGGGTAGGGTTAGGTCTCTTCTTTGTTGTGTTTGTTGGGGTGGTCGCTTGTTTCTCGGAAGTCCTTCCTTATGACACCCACAGTAAGCTCTTATTGGGGGGGGGGGGCAAAATTTTCAGACAATCTGGTTGAGGCTCACATGCAGGTCTAGCTGTCCCTTGACCCTGCAGAATTTTCCTTACTTTTCAGCCTCAGCTGGTGGAAGCACTGATTTGAAAAAATTGCGGTTGTATGTGGTTGAGTGATATATTTTGTTGAAATTCAAATTCTGTTGTTCAAAGCAGTCGCTGGATCGGAAAAGTAAAGTAAAGTTAGTTGTTCGAAGCAAAGAAAAATGCATTATGTAAAGATGTTCAGTAAATGTTTCAAGATTTTTAAATCCTCGCTTTGATTAACAAGAATGAACCAATAGTAAAAGAGAGTGGAAGAACTACAAAAATGGGGGGGGGGGACCTAGTGTGGGATGCCCATTGGATGATCTGTAAACCGATCGCCCAGCTCTATCGCTGATGACAAATGTGTTTGTTTTTTTGGCGACGAGGCGGGCATTCGGTTTGTGCCCTCAATCTGGTTTGCAAACCGAACTGATCGTGCCAATTTGCACCCCATGTAAAATGTCTCCCTACGTTATGATGCTACATTCTGTGGTGCAGTAGCATTGTGTATTGAAGGGTGATTTTCCAAAACTCCCAAAGTCAGTTTTGACATGCGCCTGCTTTCATCACAATGCTTATCCCATACATATGTGAGGCAGCATGGTGAAATCGGGCGCTCGTCAAAATACAGAAATAGGAGAAGCAGCCATTTTTCTGCCAGTTTGGACATTTTTATCGAATTTTTATTTTTTTGGCTGGACCTCTGTTTCTATCCATGTAAAAACACATTTCTATGAGAATGTTACTGAAAGACATTGATTGAAAGGTACCAAGAACTGCACCTGCCCACAAACTGATGAGTGCCTGATTCTACCGCTTGGTGACACGTTATAATAATAGTCCATACATTCCGTCCTCACTGCACTCAGAGAACTCAGTTTTCCCTACGGATCAGGATACAGATACGGTACATCAGTACTACACCTGGATCTCAGGAGGAATACCCCAACCATTATGAAATCTTCAGCTTACTGAGAAAATTGAAAGTGATGATTGCATGCTCACCAAAAAAGGAATTAAAATCGGAACTGAAAACATCAGATCTAGCTCATTCTTCACCTGAATTCTCTCAAAAAAGAACGGACTTTGTAACTTGTCTGATCATTTCATTAGGCGTGCTGAAGTTGGCAGTGCTAAATTGTGGAATTTGTTAAACAAGTGTCAATGAAAAAACAGTATTAAAAAAACGGCTCAACAAAAGTTGTACAGCTTTTGGTACATGAATGACAAAACATTGGTGGGGCTACTGAGAAAAGATGCGCCGGTGGTAGAAAGCTGTATTTTTTGCAATTCTGTCCATCTGGGCCACAATTCGAGATTCGTTCATGTACAACTTAACAAGTGTCTAATGCTATCGTGAATATCCACATATTTTCTCGGCAGTTTATGAAGTGTACTCGGTGGTATCACAAGGAAAAAGTACAGGTCGATTTTAGTGCTAGAATAAACCCACAGCTCAAATTATGAACAGTATCTGTTGCTCTCCGAAATTCCTGACTTTTCTTAATACATTACATCTAGGTACTTTTTTCCCCAACTCTTTCTTTGAACCACCTCTCTAAACTGAACTAATTGAAACCCTCCAGTCCCGCAGGTTTTGTATTCAACAGATTCCAATCTATTTATTATAATATATATCATAGGTATATACATCTGACCAGTTTGTTTCTTCCCCTCTGTCTCACGCCAGGATTACATTGCAGTGAAGGAGAAGTATGCCAAGTATCTGCCTCACTCCGCTGGACGCTACCAGGTGAAGCGTTTCCGCAAGGCCATGTGCCCCATTGTGGAGCGCCTGGCGTGCAGTCTTATGATGCACGGCCGTAACAACGGGAAGAAGCTGATGGCCGTGAGGATTGTGAAGCACAGCTTTGAGATCATCTTCCTGCTGACGGGAGAGGTGAGCATTCTTAAAGGGCCTGCCTGTAGCCTGGGCATTGTTGCTTTTTAACGTTATCTTTTTGGTGGCTAGTGTTTTTACGATACATGAACAGTCAAAACCCTGTCACTGACTACTGACCGCTCACGATGGCAAACCCGAACAAACTAAATTTAAAAATCGGACGACGCTTGTATTCTTTTCTTTCTTTTCCCAAGTGACAGCACAGTGACGAATATTAGTTTATTTTTGCGTGGCGACATCACCGACAAATTATTGCTCTGCGTGAGCTTGATTATGGTTTTTTGAAAATATATTTTAATGGGTTTTGTTTTGCATGCTTTTTAAAATCCATGATTTGTTGTAGGCAAATCAGGGAACATCAATCTTGACAATACAATCAGAAAGCCTGCACTCTAGTTTTCCTTCGTTTGCGCCCTCGATTGTCGAATCATTTATTTTTTTATTTTAGCATCAGTTTCATGCATGGCGGCCTTATCCTGCTGCCGTAGAATCCTCATAATGATTTTGACCGATTCTCTCTATCTAGACAGATTTGAGAAAGTTTTGCTCTTGCAGCGGTTTTCTTTCTATGTTCACTATTCGGTTTTCTAGATAAATGCACAGATTTTCCAGCCACAGCGAAAACCCAAAGATAGACAGAATGAAGGAGGAAGATCGCCTTTCGTAACTTGCCAAATTTTAGCCGATCTTCACGTGAACATCTATTGCTGATCGAATCGCACAGAGAGACAATGGTCGGGTGTTCGAAATGCGCAATCTGGCAGTTTCTAATACGTACAACTTATTGCCGAGGGTTACCGTTAATGTCCGAGAAGTCACGGGGGCAAATGGTGATCCTTTGCCACGGAATGCCGATAAGCTAATACTGGTTTTTTCTTGGACACATGTAGTTGATATGATAATGTGGCACAAACTGAACTTTCGGAATGTACAGGTTTCTGGGG